CATCACCTGCAACGCACAGGTTTACTGAATGATCTGTTTTGTCCTCACGGACCAGTGATCAAATTATTAACTGGGCAAAATTAGACAATTTGCACTCAATATTGCAAGGAGCTCAGGTTGTGAAGGCTCAAAAATATGCTGCTGCTAAACCTCATTCGAGAATTACAATGGTTTCTGCAGCCAGTGCCTGAATCCTATATGTGTCCCGGAGACTCACAGCTCTGTACTAGTCGGGAAACAATGAAAGTTCTGGGTTTACATTTTTTTAGCCAGAATAACACTAAATGTTAAAGATTGTAGATGAATTCACAGTCTCTGTACTAGGCACTGTGGATGGCTGGCAGAGAGCAGTAGGCTGGGCTTCTGCAGGCAATGGTGCTTCTCTTTGAAGCAAGAGTCTTCAGTAAATCCGCCATCTCTGCAGATGCTACCATCTAATCTGAAGGCAGGAAGTTTGCTTGTCCCAGGGCTTGCCTGCTCAGTGTTATTGATTGCATTAAAGAAGCCGCTCAGACATCACACCGTGAATTACTGCAGGCATTTGAGAAGTATTTGCATTCCCAACAAAACTCATTGCTCATATGACTGTATCTGGAAAAGCAAGCCAATGTTACACATAAATATTCCAACTAGTCAGTGAATTCCTGAATGGATCACTATCTGAGATTAAAATTTGGAATATGTATTCAGGGTAGTTTTCTCTACTGTATTGTCTTCCCAATACCAACTCTATGCTCATACAAGAATGGATCAGGAAGAATGGCACTGCTTTTTATTGGTTGCTTGGTCAGCTGGATGACAATCCACAGAATCCCATCCAAACCACATTGACAACAACTTACATTTATATTGCGCCATTTATGCAGGATAGCATCTCAGAGCATTGACAATTTCCCGTATTGTAAGCCACCTACACATGGAAATTTCCCTGTATCTGGAATACAGTGTGCACTCTCTCCCTAGCATCCCATGCTCCACATCCCCCGCCCCAGCCGCCCTACTATCGGTGGCCGGGCCTTCAGCTTCTCAGCCCCTAGGCTCTGGAACTCCATCCCCCAGTGCCTTCGCCGCCTCCTCCCTTTCCTCCTTCAAGGCCAGTCTCAAGACCTTTCTCTTCGACCGTGCCTTCAGCCCCCCTCTCGACTCTCTACCCCCTCCTCGCTCCCTCCCTTCTCTCCCCTCACCATTTCCCTCCTGCTCGGGTCCCAACCCAATTGTCCAGCGCTTTGGGACGTCCTCCCGACGTGAAAGGTGCTCTGTAAATGAAATCTTCTTGTTGTTGTAGCAGGACACATCATACTCCCCTCATTACAGAGATTATTAGATGCAGTTTAACGAGAGGAAAGAGTGTGCGTTGGGGTTCTGCTGGAATCAAACCAGTTAAAACTGGCAAGTCCGCTCCAAGGAGACCTGCAGAGCTCCCCCCCGCCAACTCCTGCACCTCAATTTAGACATAGATCCATACCCATTGGAGTGATGCTTCCACGTTGGACCAGCATAAACAGCAGCTGCCAACCTCTTGGCATCCCAATCAAGGTGGTTACTAAACCCTGGATTTGTGAATGGGTGTCCACAAATCCAGACTCCAGGTAACACCTTCCAGCAGCAGGTCCCAAGCCTCAGGTTCCTCATCAGCTATTTGACAGCCATCTGCCTTCAGGTTAGTGGGAGGAACTTCCCAGGACAGCTTCTGATGTGCCAGCACCTTAACATTCTATAGGACCATTTATATAATAATAATAATAATAATCCTTGCATTTGATATAACGCTTTTCACGTCTTCTAGGCGTCCCAAAGCGCTTCACAGAATATACTGTAAAGTGAATTGACTGTATATTTGTGGGTGAACGCGGCAGCCAATTGCGCACAGCAGTGTCCCACAAACAGTCGTAGATTGAAAATGACCAATTTATTATTGTTTTGTTTTTTGGTGGGATTATTATTAGGTGTGTGGAGTAAGGAAACTTGCCCAAGGTTTTGCTCTGCCTGGAATTGAACTCGGGTCTCTCACTTGCAAAGCGAGTGCTCTAACCACTGAGCTACAGGACTCCACTTTGTTGTGGTGATGTGAACGCTCACACTAGATTATTTGCATTTAAGAATTCTTGTGTGGGAATGGCGTGGGGAGAGCCTTCATATTGGGGAACTGCTGTCATTGTTGTCCCAATACCACCCACAGTATATAGAAGAGGAAGTCCTGTCATGTTCCTTACAGTTCCAAGTCCTTCATCTTGAGATGAAGAGCCTTGAGATGAAGAGCCTTGAGATGAGAGCCTTGAGATGCTACCCTAACGTGAAGGGCGCCTATGTAAATTCAAGTTGTTGTTACTAGGACCAAATCCATGGAAAAGAATCATTAGTCAGCCCATTTGCAGTGTTAAGGCGGACTCATTGGAAGAATCTATTCTGTCTCCTTTTCTATTGACACTCATTGCTGTTCTGACTGTCCTTGAAATTTGGAGATTAAATTTGAGCATCTTAAATTTGACTGTTTAAGTGCCCAAATATTAGCTTTGGAGTTTTCCTCCCTAAATTCAACAGATTTTCTGCAAAGTGAAACTTTAACTAATTTTTTTTTAAAAACGTTTTGTATTAGCTTATTTTGTTTCTTCACTTACCAGCCTTTGATAATGGCAAGTAAAAGATAGTTTATAGTATTTGAATAAAACAAAAGCAGCACCACACACCAAACTATATGACAAATAAAACCATGATTTGTATTTATATATTCTCAAAGATGTGATAAGGCGCTATATCAAATGCAAGATTATTATTATTATTGCTGCTGAATTAGAATAGATAGAATGTACAGCTCAGGAACAGGCCCATGCAGTCTGGCTGCTGTTATGTTCCACGCAAGTGCTATCCTGGATCCTATCCCTAGTCCTACATCCGAGCCTTTTCCCCATATCTCTCAACGATATTCTCTTAACCACGTGTTCAATCTTTGTTTGAATGTGCACATTGTTGCTGCTCCAACAAATGATTCTGGCAGAGAATTTCACCTTCCCACTCTGTGTGAAAACGTTCTTCCTATTCTCACTGTATTAACAAAAATTCTCAGTGGACATTAATTGTTCAAAATGCAGAACTTTTAAGAATAAATATTTTACTGAGCATTACAGGGTCTGACAAAGGGTCATGGGCCCAAAACGTTGACTCACTTTCCTTTCTCCATAGATGCTGCCTGACCTGCTGAGTGTTCCCAGTGACTTCTGTTTTTGTTTTCAGATTTCCAACACCTGCAGTATTTTGCGTTTTGTATTCAATGTGGGTTTCCTTTCATTCTGGACAGTGAGCAATTGCACTACATTCAGTGTGAGAGAATCATGGAAATAATTCTAAATTACAAAAACTTGCATTTTCATTCTCTTAGCAGAGGTATTTTTATCCCAGTTTTTTTTCAAAATAAGTTGATATTTTTCTAAAAGGCAATTCCTATTGTCTGTAAAAGGGTTGGTTAAGAGATCACCCCCACAGCAGTCAAATAAGCATTTAAAAATTCTTCGGAGAAACTTTAAAGATAAAATATGAGTGACAATTACATTATGCTGACCTACATAGACTTATTTTGGGGCATTCCTTCCAGGAAAAATAAATAATCCTTGCATTTGATATCGCGCTTTTCACATCTTCGAGATGTCTCAAAGCGCTTCACAGAATATACTGTAAAGTGAATTGACTGTATATTTGTAGGCGAGATTCGGCAGCCAACTGCGCACAGCAGTGTCCCACAAACACTTGTGGATTGAGTGACCACATTTTTATTGTGTTTTGTTTGAGTAAGGGAACTGCCGAGAATTGAACCCAGGTCTCTTCGCTTGCGAGGCGAGTGCTCTAACCACTGAGCTACGGGACACATCTGTGGACTAATCTAGTCACTCAGGCATGTCATATTCATACCTACCAATTCTTATGAAAATTCCATCTTCTTCACAAATGGAGAGACATAGCTTATAACCGCTGATTCTCACTGAGAGCAACTGAAGCCCAGACTATTAGTTCAGGTTGCGGTGTGGGCTTTAAACACAGCATTCTAACTTGGGTGAGAGTGCTTCCAACTGATAGCCTTAAATGTTTGGAATTATGAAAATATAGATACGTCTGAGCGCAAGAGGGTCACCCCATTAATGGTCGGTGATATTTATTTGAAATCTGAGAAGGAGAAGGAATACGATTGCAAATGGATACTGTCTAAAAATAATCTTTTGTATCCTGGTATGTATTTGTGCTATTTATTGCCTTATCTCTTGAAGATCGGCAGTTTGGGGTCTTTCCCTTATGCAGGCAGATGTTTAGCTGAAATTGGTAATAATAGCTGCTAAAGAGCAGCAATCTCATAATTGCCATCTGGCCGTATCATGGTTACTGGTCAGATGGTGTTCAGGCTGGCAAGATTCAGAACTGTGCACTCGGCCAGTACCAAGCTTTTCTGATTCAGTAGCCTCCTGATCATGATCCAGAATATATAATCAGGTTCTGCTCACTGATGGTTCTGGTCAGTGAAGCAGCTTGCTGCAGAGAAAAGAGATCCCAAATAGAAGGTTGCAGGTCATAAACAAAATTATTCTCGTCGAATAAGAGCTGTATGAAATATTTTCACTGTACCTAGATGGCAGTAGTGGTTCACATTGAAGGAGGAATCCTTAAGTGATGCTGATTTCTGGAGCTTTTACTAACTAGAAGAACAATTTGTGCTTTTTACGATTGATTTTTATTCTGACTTTTCATTCTTGGAGCCAGGGTGTGAAATAGAAAATCATTTATCGGATACAAGTCACAAATGGTTTGTGAAATAGTTTCGTAGTTCCCAATTATGGGTCCTGGGTTCTGTCTGTGTTGAGATTCATAAATTAAGAAATCTTGTCAAACTGTACTGTGAAAATTGTGCTGTTTTACGTTGGATTTCTGTGTGGAAATATTTGGGCTGATTTCAAGATCAGCAAAAAGTAACCAAGTAGATTAAAAACTTGTATTTCTTAATTTGCTTTTCTTGACAGAATATCTTCACTAATCACACACTAGATGTAAATGTACGATGGTTGGCTGTTTTATACTTCAAAAATGGAATTGATCGCTACTGGAGGCGTATATCTCCACAGTGAGTACTTCATTCTTTTGTAGCTGATGACAGGCTGAGATCGGGAAGCACCCACGTGTGGTATCGCAGGCAAAAACTGGTATAATTGTCCTGATGTAGGAGGAATCCATGAATTCAAAGGGCTGTAAAATTATATAATAATAAACTTTTATAATAAAAAAAATTAAAAATGCTAGCCATGGTTCTGTGGCTTACGTTACAATTTATGAATTTGTAATTATTTTACTATAATTTTGCTATATCCTATTTTAATTAGAAAACTCTTCTGTGCCTACTTATTCCAAAGCAGTCCTTCAGCAGTTAGTAGAGCAAGACTGCAATAATAAGGCAGCATGGGCCTTAGAGATTTTAGTTAAGTTACCAACAGCACCGTGAAGGGACTAATGACTGTAGACAGCTGAAATGTGTTGATTAAAGCTGTGATTTTAACAAGGTCTAATGTGCAAATGACTAAACTTGCCGCATGACTCCAGCTTTGGAATGAACATTTTACGTGTTTGAGGTATAGTTTGCAACTATATGAGCTGGTTAAATGTAGCAAAAAGCTCAGAAGGATACAAGGTTCTTGCATAATGAACCATGATATCACTTTGAACAACCACTTTATTACTTTGCCTGAAACTTTTATCTATTGTTATTCGAGGCACTTTGTAGCTGTTGCAGACTTTGTATCCTTCTGTAAAGGAGGGAATGATAAAGTTGCAATTGATTTGCAAATTTTGTAGTATTTGTTTGTATTTATGTGCAGTTATGACCCTAAGTTGTTTATTCCAGTTATCAGAAACCTTTCACAAATAGATAACCTGAATATTCTAAAATTCTCTGTACATGCAATCTGTCAGTCCAGCTAGCATTTTTAGATAATACAAAAAAATCCTTGCATTTGATATAGCGCCTTATCATGTCTTCGAGACGTATCAAAGCGCTTCACAGAATATACTGTAAAATGAATTGACTATATATTTTATGGGTGAAACCAGCAGCCAATTGTGCACAGCAGTGTTCCACAGTTGTGGATTGAGTGACCAAATTATTATTTTTATTTTATGAGGGATTATTACCCCCAGAAAAGGATCTGCCAATTGAGTAACAACTGGGTTCCTACTTACTGCTAGGTAAACCGAGGCGTGTGGAGTAGAGAAACTTACCCAACGTTTCACCCTGCCTGGGAATTGAACCCAGGTCCTCTTGCTTTGGAGATGTGGTGTAGTCGCACGACAACCTAGCAGAAAACAAGCTCTTCTAATGGATGGCTGTAAATCAGGGAGTCAGTCCTCCAAATAAAATGTGAAATGGTTGTAAATCTTGCTGCATTTAATAATAATAAACCTTATCACATCTTCGAGACATCTCAAAGCACTTCACAGAATATACTGTAAAGTGAATTGACCATATATTTTGTGGGCAAAATGCGCAGTCAATTGCACACAGCAGTGTCCTACAAACAGTCGTGGATTGAAGTGGACAAACAGTCGTGGATTGAAAATAATAATTTACTATTATTTTTTTGAACAAATTATTACCCCCGGAAAAGAGATCCGCCAACCGACTAACAACTTGGTTCCTACTTACTGCTAGGCAAACAGGCGAGTGGAGTAAGAAAACTTGCCCAACATTTCACCCTGCTGGGAATCGAACCCAGATCCTCTTGCCTTCGAGGCGAGTGCTCTGACCGCTAAACTACAGGACTCCATTTACATATGTAGATGAAGTACAAAGTTTAAGATTTTAATAATTTGATGTTTTATATGATCATATTTCATTTGGGAAGGTAAGTTGTGAAAATGCTGGTACCATGCAGATACATGAGGTTTTTGTTCTACAGAGATCTGAAGAATGAATATTATTGTTTTTTAATTGCAAATGTGCTTTTTAAAACAACGACGAATGTGACATCTGGTAGCTTTGGATTTTTTCCAGGGGAATTTTTTTTTTCTCTTTTAGTTCGATGCATATAGCATGTTAATATTTATCAAATACTGGATATACATATATTTAAAATTTACTTTTCAAAAGCTTATCTCTTCAGTATCCCCAAAGAACCTATGCCATGGTGGGTTTGCGATGATGTGCGTGCTGCCTTTCTTGGACAAGATATTTACTAAGTACTAAATTTCAACACCTAATGGCACTCTCGAAAATGCAGCACTCTCTTCTGGACTGTCAGGCTGGACTAGGTCCCAATGAGGAATTTGAACCCACAGGCGAGAGTGTACTAACTGAACTAGGCTTGCATTCTTACCTCCATCCACACAGAAAACACAATGACACTTAAGGAGATGTGAGAATACTGCATTTTCGAGAGTGCCATCCTTCAGATGAGACGTTACACCGAGGTCCCACCACCTGCTCAGGTAGATGTTAAAAGATCCTATGGCACTGTTCGAAAAGAAGGCAGTTTCCATTCCCTTCCGACCTCCAACTCCAAAGTGGCCAAATTTCATCCTTGTGTCTGGTAGTACTTGAGAATAACCTCAAAAAGCCTCTTTATTAAAGCAGCTTAACTTGACCAAACAGTGCCTTTTTAAGTAAGACTCGGATGATATGGCAGAAAATGCTTCAGTTCTCAAACATCAGCTCCCAGTCAATTTCTTTATCTTGGTCTCCTTTGCAGCTTCTGTTTTGCAAAACATAATATCCTAAAGATAAAAAGACGATGGGATTCTTTGGACCTGTGTTGGATCATAAAACCTTTTCTATTCTTTGGAAGGAGAATGGTGAATGTGGCAGAATTTCTTGATAGTGATGTAGTATAGGTCTTCTATGATCCTTTAGGCAATCCAACGATGTTCAAGTGCAAGGTTATTAATCTGTTATTTAATTCCTGCAATTTTGTGTAGAGACAGACGTGAGTTAAGTTCTTTAATCTCAGATACTCTGTTTTGAACACTATGAGTCACAGTATTTCCTTTAATGCAATTGTGAAGTCTGGATGGGTTGTCACTCCCCAATAACAACTGTTATGTAGGCAGTGAGCAACTGCTCATTTCAGGTCAAGGTTTCTTGTCTTTTTTACCATGTTTCCTGTAGTAATAAGAACAGTATTAAAACTTGCAGTTTTATACAGTTTCATGCAATCATGTAGTTGTATTACAGTATTTAGACACATTTTCAGCAGATGCATTTGTTGAAATATGGTGTTTAATTTTAGGATTTTTGAGTTTGTGTTTTTTGCCACAAAATTGTTAGCTGCTTTGCAGTTTTAAATTTTTGAATGACTCAGTTCTACTACAGCTATTGAATTATTATATTCGTGTGGAGTTCTGACTGCTGTAAACAACAACAGCTTGCATTTATACAGTGCCTTCACGCAGGACAGCGTCCCGGAGCGCTTGACAGTGGTGGAGTCTAACCTCACAACTATCAAGCGGGGGAGGGGGAGAGGGCCTTGGCAGCCCATTTTGTAGTTTTCATTTCTGCTGAAAATTTGTCTGACTTTTGTTCCTGTCGACATATTTTCCTCTTTGGATCTATCAAGTTAAAGATGGAAGATTATTAAGTCGCTTCTTATATAAAAATAGTTGCATGTGAAAACATTGTGTTCAATTTGCAGACGTTTCATTACTGTGCTTGAATTATACTGTACTTCAAAGGCTATCTTTGTTAACATTAATGTATTTTTCAAAAGTTTGTGACAGTGCGGTGGAGGGATGCTTAATGATTTTGTAAGAATTTTGTGACTATTTTATGTTGCTGAAGAAAATGGCGATTTCAACAAGTGGCACATGGAACTTTGCTAAATAGGGTCCCAATTGCGTTTTGTAGCAATTGACTCTTGTTGTTTTACAGTGCTCTGGCAGAAGATGAAAAAGCCTCACTGAGAGCAGGACTCATTGCAAACTTCAATGAACCAGTAAATCAGGTTAGTGCTCAAATGAATTCAAATCAAAAGATAAAGGTAGGATTTGTTTTAGATAAATTAAGGAATAATATCATTGTTGCTATGGCCATTGAGATGCAATATGCCACCAACACTGTATGACAAATAATGTGGACTAAATTATTCTAATGTACATAGTTTTTAAATCGTAACAGAATTACATATAGAATTGCTTAGAATGCTATGGCATGGAAACAGGTAATTCAACCCATCTTGTCCTTGCTGGTGTTTAGATTCCATGTGAGCCTCCACTTCTCCTTTTCCCCTCTATTCTCTTCACATTGTGTATGATTCAAGTTTCCTCTTAAATTACAATATTATACATTCCGTAGACTACTTAAATTTGCCTATGAATCTATTTTCTCCCACAAAATACAGTCACTGCACTTTACGGTATATCCCGTGAAGTGCTTTGAGACGCCATGCCGACTTGATAAGGCGCTATTTCAAATGTAAGGATTTATTATTGTTATTCACATAAAGATACATGATTAAAATATTTAGATGAAAATAGAGTGTGAGTCCTTTTATTTAAATGGAGACACTACTGTGGAATAATAAAATGTTTCCTTTATATAACTGTTCATGCGATACAATTTTAAAAATGTGGCAATGATATGTCTTAAGTGCCCAAAAATTTAAGTCATTCACCCGTTTCAAATGTAAAGTTTTGTACAATGTACAAAACCCATCATGAATGAGTAACATATCATTTTATTCTATAAAACAGAATGCGTGTACGAGAAATGATTAGACTTGTTTTGTCTGCTTTGGCGAATGGTACTTGGAATATTCTTGCAGTGACTGTCGAAGCATTTTGACAGCAGAAACAGCATTCTGGTGCCACCTAATGGTTCTGTGAACACAAACTCTGTACGTGACTTTCCAAATAGAAAAAAAAATCTCACTCTGAGTTTGTATCCAGATTACCAGCTCACATGCCTCCACTGCATGTATGTTGATTTCAAATTGACTGCACCTTTGATTTTCTCCACCCCTGCAGATATGCCAGGAGTGGTGAGTTTAATCACATGGCAATATAACATGCGGCAATAAAAAAGTTTTAATTGACCACGGCCCTGAAAGTATTGTTTAATTTTAAACTTGGCTGTGATCTTGGATTCTGAGAATTAAAACTTTTGTTACAAAATAATAGGTTCAATTTTGCAAAGAATTCACGTTGGTCAAATCAAACGATCAGATGTCTATTTACTACACAGTGCCTTCAAAAGATGTTTGCTGGGTTCGATGGTTTAGTTTTTTTTTAATGATGTCATGTTTTTTCAGATTGCAACCCAGATTGGCGTATTGATTGCTAAGGTTGCCAGGTTAGATTGCCCTCGCCAATGGCCCGAACTGATTCCCACATTACTGGAATCTGTCAAAGTGCAGGATTATCTCCGTCAACACCGAGCATTACTCACCTTCTATCATGTCACCAAGACGCTGGCATCTAAAAGATTGGCGGTGGATAAGAGGCTGTTTCAGGACGTAAGTTCTCCAACATTGAATTATCATTCACTAATTACAGCGCTCACTGATTCTTTAACATTTCTAATGCCAGCCTCTGTAGATTTTCATTTTTATTATTGCAAGACTTCTGTAGTTGTGCCTGACGAGGGTTTATTTCTGTAGTTGTGGTCTGACAAGGGTTTGTTGTTTTAAATTAGATTTCTGGTTTATAAGTTCTCTGCTAACTTCACTTCTGTGTTGCTGTGCATTTGTAAAGCAGGACATCACAATGGCAATTTAATGACCCGAGTGTTGGCCATTTTAGCTTCCTGCAATAAAAAAAATGACTGACTTTCGATTTATCATGTCATGTCCGACATCACTTTGTGCATTTGCATCAAGTCCTGGATGAGAGCTAACTTTCTTCAGTTACCTGTCCGGAACCTTGGGGTCTTGTTTGACCCTGAACTATCCTTTTATACCCCACATCTGCGCCATGACCCGCTCTGCATCACATAAGGGATACAGTTCAAGATCCTGGTCCTCACCTTCAAAGCTCTCCCCCCTACCTCTCTAACCTCCTAACCCCCCTGCTACCCTGTTCGCTCCCTCCGCTCAGCGGGCTCCGGTCTGCTTCATGTCCCCCGCCTTGCTCCCCCACCACTGCCACTTTGCACCCACCCTCTGGAACTCCAACCCACAGTCCCTCCATCGCACCCCCTCCCTCGCCGCTTTCAAACCCCACCTCAAGATCCTACTCTTCGACCGTGCTTTTGATCTTCCTGCTTCCCCCTTCTGCCCTCCACCCTCCCCCACCCCGACCCCCAGCTCGGGTCTGTAACTCTGTCTGTCCAGCGCCTTGGGATGTCCTCCCGACGTGAAAGGCGCTTTACAAATGTAAATTTGTTTTGCAGAAAACATGAAATGATGTTGAGATGACCCACTGACCCAGAAGTTGACCTTTTTTTCTTTTAGGGTGGGGACTGGCAGGCACACTCCTTAAGCACCACCTGGTTGCACCCATGTGTAGTAAGACTCGCAATAACATGGGGTTGGATTTTATGGATCCCATAATCATCTCATAATCGCACAATGATCATGTTTTAAGGAAGATACACTGCTATGCAGTGAAATCTACTCACTAAAATATCTGCTGCAGTAAAGCTGAATTTGTAATTGCATAAATTTTACGCCCATGGGATAGATGAAATATATTAAAATGGATTAGCAAATAAATGGCTTGTTGGTAGAGAGCAAATAGTGGTATTTCATGCGGAGGTATCTGGCTTCGAGCCAGTTTGCTACTTGTAATGCGTCACAATGATTGATATTGGGACCACAATTGTTATAAATTATTTTGAGGTAGATATTGTGTCAAATTTGCATATTGCACTAAATTGGAAGTGGCAAATCATGTAAATGTATGTGCGCAAAATCAGAGGGATCTATAGAAGCTGGGATTGTGGGCATAAATGTGACACATAAAGCTTTATGCAGAGAAATATAAAGTAATTAGCTTTGTCAGAAGAAAGAATAGTGTGGAATATGCACTAAACTATGTTGATCTATCAGTTGTGAAGCTGACGAATGCTCTTCCCTAGAAAGCTCTAGAAGACAAATTGATCGTGTTGTTTAATATAAAGGTATTCGGGTGGTAGAGGTATTAAGGGATAACAATAATTCTTTCATTTGATATAATGCCTTATCACGTCGTTGTGACATCTCTTAAGTGCTTCACAGAATATACTGCAAAGTGAATTGACTATATTTTATGGGCGAAACTATGGATGCGGGAAAGAGTAAGGGACTGGGATTAAACAATCTGGCACGATCAAATAAACTGGCGGAACAGGCTTAATGGGCTGAATGTTCTCCTGTTTACCTATGTTTCTGTGTTGGTGTTCCCATTGGTTAAGACCGCAAACAAAATGTTCAGATGATTTGCTGAAGCTGTCATGTATAAATTGAAAGACTTAATTCTCAAATTGTCAAATTAAGCGCTCTGAGACTACCCTGCGTGGAGAGTGCTATATATATTGAAGCGCTCTGAGACACCGTCCGGCTTGGAGGGCCATCTATAAATCCAAGTTGTTGTTGTATAAGTGCAAGTTGTTGTTGTCGGCGTCGTGGTTATGTACAGTTTTGGTTTCCTTATTTTATATACTGTATAAAAAGATTTTTATGGGTACTGACAGCCTTCTGGGACTTTATCCGATTGCCTTTTTTCGTACATGAGCCTAGATGTTGTGTTGGAAGGCTATTTGACTGTAGAGGGCATCGTAACTGAACTCATGTTGCTCTCGGCTGGTGTCCATACTGATGTACATTCCAGCACGATTTGCTGGATAGCAATCAGGAAATAATACTCAGGAGTGAAACTTTCACTTTCCCAAACCCAAGGACCAAGGACTATCTTATCTTCCAAACAGCTGTTTTGACTTAGAGTTTCTAACTCAGAACAGATCAGGAATCAAATATAAAACTTCTCTTCATTATGGCGTAGAGAAATAACGCATCTATTTAGTTTGGCCGACTCAGATTTCCATCATCTGGATGAATAATGCATTACATTTGGGAATTTAAAAAGACTGAAATGTTTACTGCTAGCGTAAAGTAGTGCTAAAATGTGCCACCTGAATGGTACATGCCTACAGCCTGCGTGTGTTCAGTTCCTGACAAAGCACCTGAGAAAGCACCTTCTTGGGGAGAGGAAAATCAAAGCAGGACAAGTTGTGTTGTTCTTTTATAGCTGACTAACTGTACCCGTTGCAGCTACGCTAACAACCAAAAGATCCAATATGGAATGTAGATTTCAGTGATGCCATTCACAGACCATTTTACGTACCATAAACCCTGTGTGAACACCTTAAGAAAAATTGCCATACATGTGGATGAGCTTGTTTAAGTCATAACTCATCAACAATAGGAGATGCCCATGATATTCCCCCATGCAAGACCTTTCCGATGAGGTATAAATCATGTCTCTACATCAATCGGTTATTGAGTTCTTGGCGGACAGACAGACACACAGACAGACATTTTGTCTTTATTAGTATATGTATAGTATAAGAAGATAGAAGATAGATGGCTAGAATGAGTAGCATTATTAACACGTGTCTGGGAGAACTGATTTTCCATTTTGTTAGTTGTGGAACGAGTGCGGATCTCAAAAGAATAAGAAGGAAAACCGTAATAAACGACTGCAAAAATAACAGATGTTTTTACTTTTTTCGCCGTTTAATTATCAAGCCATTGCCTGGAATTTTTATTGGCATCAGAATTAAATTTGAATTTGTCTTCTTGACAACAACGTTTAAATTCCTACCAGGTAGACCAACAGCCTGTGGTTGCGCTGTTTTGTTTCATTCCCAATGTTGGCTCTAAAATGGAGCATCTGCTGCTCTGTGTTAATGCAGTTCCTTATGTTCCTAGGGGGGGGGGGAAATATAGCTCCTCTCAGCATGGCTTGGACAATTGTTACTATAATTTGTACAACAACAACAACAAGATTCCATTTATTGAGCGCCTTTCACGTCGGGAGGACAGTCCCAAGGCGCTGTACAGTTGGGTCAGGACCCGAGCAGGGGGGAAATGGTCAGGGTGAGGGGAGGGAAGGGAGGGAGCGAGGAGGGGGAAATGGTCAGGGGAGGGAAGGGAAGGGAGGGAGCGAGGAGGGGGTAGAGAGTCGAGAGGGGAGCTGAAGGCACGGTCAAAGAGAAAGGTCTTGAGATCGGCCTTGAAGGAGGAAAGGGAGGAAGCAAGGCGAAGGCACTGGGGGATAGAGTTCCAGAGCCTCGGGGCTGAGAGGCTGAAGGCCCGGCCACCGATGGTAGGGCGGTTGGGGCGGGGGATGTGGAGCAGACCGGAGCCAGAGGAACGGAGGGTACGGGCAGGTAAGTAGGGGGATAGTAGATCGGAGAGGTAGGAGGGAGCAAGGCCGTGAATGGCCTTGTAGGTGAGGATGAGGATCTTGAATTCGATCCTCTGGGGGATGGGGAGCCAGTGGAGGCGAGCGAGGGTGGGAGTGATGTGGTCGCGAAGCCTGGTGCGGGACAGTACACGGCACGAGCTGCAGAGTTCTGAATGACCTGCAGCTTGTGGAGGGAGGTGCCGGGAAGGCCGACGAGGAGAGAGTTCCCATAGTCGAGCCTTGAGGTGATAAAGGCGTGGACCAGGGTTTCAGCAGCGTGAGGGGTGAGGTAGTGCCGTAGTCTGGCGACATTCCGGAGGTGATGGAAGGCGGTGCCAGTTGTGGTGCGGATATGAGGGAGAAAGGACAGCTCAGGGTCGAACAGAACTCCGAGGTTCCTGACTGTCTTTGAGAGGTGGAGAGTGCAGCCTTGGATGCTGATGCTGTCAGTGCCTGAGATGCGGAGGCGCTGACGTGAGCCAATCAGGAGGGCCTCAGTTTTACGCACATTGAGCTGGAGAAAGTTATCTCTCGTCCAGGACTCGATGTCGGACAGGCAGCTGTCAGGACATCGGTGGTCGTGGAGTTGAGGGTAGAGGAGGAAAGGTAGAGTTGGGTGTCATCCGCATACATGTGGAAGTTAACCCCATGTCTGCGGATGATGTCACCAAGGGGGAGCACATAGAGGGTGAAGAGGAGTGGATCGAGGACAGAGCCTTGAGGGACACCGCACGAGACAGTGCGGGGGGTGGAGGAAAAGCCGTTTGTAGAAACAAATGAAGACGGTGGGAGAGGTACGACCTAAACCACTCAAGGACAGGGCCTTGAAGGTTTAGGTGGGAGGACAAGCGGTGGAGGAGGATAGCATGGTCGACCGTATCGAATGCTGCCGATAGGTCGAGGAGGCAGAGGGAGCCCTGGTCACAGATGGTCAGGATGACATTGGTGACCTTGTCAAGGGCAGTTTCTGTGCTATGGGCAGCACGGAAACCCGACTGAAGCGGTTCGAATAGTGATTTGGTTGGAGAGGAAAGAGCGCAGCTGGGAGGCGACAACTCGTTCCAGGACCTTGGACAGGAAGGGGAGGTTGGAGATGGGCCGGTAGCTTGATAGCTGCGACGCATCAAGGGAGGGTTTTTTCAAGGTGGGAGTGATGGTGGCAGTTTTTAAGGGAATGGGAACGGAGCCAGAGGAGAGGGACAGTGGAGCGGTAGATTTTGAGGAGGTCCAGCCAGATTTGTCGGTGGACCGTTAGGCCAGATTTGACCCAGGTGCGTTCAGTGGCCCGCACTTGGGTCGTCAGTGAGCGCAGGTGGGTGGTGAACCAGGGGGAGGAGCGAGAGTAGGAGACAGTACGGGAGGTGATGGGGGCAAGAGTGTCAAGTGAGGAGGAGAGGGTGTTGTGGAGGAGGGTGAGAGCAGAAGAGGGGTCAGTGAGGGTTGAAGGCCAGAGGGAGAGGAGTTCAGAGGACTCCAAGGCAGCGGTTAGGGATTGAGGGGGTAACTTCTTCCAGGGGCGGTAGAAGATGGTGGTGGGTCTGGTGGAGGTGGGGAGAGGGGTGAAGGTGGTGAAGGAGATGAAGTGGTGATCGGAGACGGCCTTGTCGGTGATAGTGACATCCGAGACACTGAGGCCCCGGGTGATCACCAAGTCGAGTGGGTGGCCGTGACTGTGAGTGGGGGAGTTGATGTGGAGGGAGAGGTTGAGCGAGGAGAGGAGGGAGGAGAAGTCCGAGGAGATGGAGCAGGAGGGGGTGAAGTGCAGGTTAAAGTCGCCCAGGATGATGAGGCGATCAGAGCAGAGGCAGAGAGATGTAAGTAGGGTGGAAATATCAGAGATAAAAGTGGGAGAGGTTTTAGGGGCCGGTAGAGGAGGAGGATTTTAAGTGAGAGGAAGGAGGGGTGGGAGAGGGTGAGGTGCTCAAAAGAGGGGAAAGAACCAGAGGAGTAGGGGGATAGGGCAAGTGGTGTCCTTGAGATAAGCCAGAGAAGTGAGATAGAATACATTCATGCAAAAAAGGAAACATTCTGGCAATAGTGGATGACTATCCTTAAAATGAAGTATTATCATTGCTCTCTCCTCTCGTCCCTCTGCCTCTGAACTGAGCATCTGTGCATAATGGGCGAATTCAACCTTCCCCATAATTCCTCTTGCCTCATCTCCTCGGATTTTGCTGTCCTCATCTTGCTAAACCTCACCCTCCACTTAAACCTCCCGTCCCACAACCGTGGCCACCCCCTTGACCTAGTCAGTTACCCATGGCCTTGACATCCCCTAGTTGTCCATCACAGACAAGACCATCTCCGATCACTTCCTCATCTTCCACTCCTCAACCTCAAAGTGCTCTTCTCCACCACTCATCATCTCCTCCATATACGCCTCAAATAAATAATCGAACATCCTCAGATCTAATGCCAAGGGCGAAGAGGTATAGGGACTTCTTCGTCTTAAAGATAGAAAACATCTGCCTGGCTGCTCCTCTTTCTTCCCTGTGCCCTCTACCACCCACTCCACCCCCATGCCTTCAGCATCACCCACTCCTTCCACTATGGTTCCTTCCATTGCCCCCACCCTCCCCCTCTTTGTCCCCATTTCTTCTTCCTCTCACAACTATCATCACCCATATAAGCCCACCACCTCTTCAAGCCCCTCGCCACCCAGCTGCTCAACTCTGCTACCTCTCTCCACTGCTGGCCGACGCAGTCAACCAGTCCCTCTCTTCAGGTTCCGTCTCATTCCTCCTCAAAACTGTTGTCATCACTTCCCTCCTCACAAAAAAACAGTCTTGATCCCTCTAACCGTACAAACTACCAGTCCATTTCAAACTTGCCCTTCATCTCTAAAGTCCTGGAACGCATTGTTGCCAACCAACCTCTACCTCCATTCCCTTGAGCTCCTCCAGTTCAGTCTCGGTCCTGCCCGCAGTACTTATCAGAGTCACAAATTACGCCCTCTCTTTGTGATCAGGACTCCCTCTGCCACTTACTCCTGAACCTCTGCTGTCCTTGACAAAGTTGATCATTCCCATCCTCCTTGACCACCTCTCCTCCCTTATCCACCTTAGTGGGACCACACTTGGTTCAAGCCCTACCATCACTTCATTTCTGCAAACTGTTTCTCCTCCAGTCCCCACTCGGTCAACTGGTTGATATCTAATGGGTACATTTTATAACATGCTATCAGAAAAATGCAGATTTCATATTTTTAATATCCTTTTGCTTGACATATCATAACACGGATCAGTTTGTGTCCTGGTCTGTAAGAATTGTAATGAAAGTGTACTGGATGAAATTGTTTATACCTAAAGCATTGAAATATGTTTGGTAAACAGCGAGCACGTATTCGTTATTCTTATGAAAAATTTGTTTTTGTTTAGGCTTTTTTATTCAAAATGAAAATATGTAAAACAACATTGGAGGAACATGATATGGAAATCTAAGAAGAAATTTCCTCAGTGAAAGTGCCCCGGAGAAGTGTTTTGCTTGCAATACGTTAGCTTCAACTCAGCACTTTGAAATGCAATGATAGAAGGGAATTTTACTTAATCTTAATCTTCATGGATCTACCCTTGCCTGGTTTGATTCCTATCTCTCTCACCGCCTCCACTTTGTTGCCTCTAACGGTTTCTCCTCCAGTCCCCGCACTGTCACGTCTGGTGTCTCCCAGGGCTCTGTCCTTGGCCCTCTCCTCTTTAATATCTACATGCTCCCCCTTGGTGACATCATTTGCAGACATGGGGTCAACTTCCACATGTATGCAGATGACACCCAACTCTATCTTTCTACCTCCACCCTCAACTCCAGGACCACTGCTGTCCTGACAGACTGCCTGTCGGACATCAAGTCCTGGATGAGGGCAAATTTCCTATAGTTGAATGTGAACAAGACTGAGGCCCTCCTGATTGGTTTGCGCCAGTGCCTCAGCATCTCAGGCTCTGGCAGCATCAACCTCCATGGCTGCACACTACAACTCACCAAGTCAGTCAGGAACCCAGGTGTCTTGTTCGACCCTCAACTGTCTTCTTCCCCACATCCAAGCCATGACCCGCTCTGCCTTCCCTCACCTCCGTAACATCGCCCGACTCCGTCACTTCCTCACATGCTCCCCCTGTCCTTCAGAGGATCCAGTTCAAGATCCTGGTCCTCACCTACAAAGCTCTCCATGGCCTCGCCCCACCCCTACCTCTGTGACCTCCTGAACCCCTACCAACCCGCCCGTTCCCTCCACTCAGCTGTCTGTTCCATGTCCCCCAACCCACCCGCCCCACCATTAGCGGGAGAACCTTCAGCCACTCTGCCCCCAACTTCTGGAATTCCATCCCCCAATCACTCCGCCTCGCCCCCTCCTTAGCCTCCTTCAAGTCCCGCCTCAAGACCCGCCTCTTCGACCATGCCATCGGCCACCTCCCTTCCCCTCCCCTCCCTTCTCTCCCCTGACCCCAGCTCGGGTCTGAAATGCTGTACACTGTCCAGTGCCTTGGGACGTCCTCCCAACGTGAAAGGTGCAATACAAATGCAATCTTCTTCTTGTTAAGAGAAAATGCTCTTGTTTTTTTCTGTATTATAATCTATGCTTTGTAAAGATATATTCAGCAGTATGACCACCGTTATTACTCAGTAGCTGTATCTCAGCTACTGTGAATTCACTGATTTTTTAAAAAAAAATGCATTGCTCATTCCTGACAAGACACAGATCTTGTCAGGAATGAGCAATCCAATTTTTATCAGAGAATTCAGAATATTTTATTTTCTTTCTTCAGAGAGGACATTGAAAAAAGCTTTGATGCTTTATACTGTGTTACACCTTTTTGAATCGAGGCAAATTATCTCCAAGCAATGCAGTTTAAAACAGGGTTGAACCACGGAGACAAGAAGATAAAATATAATATGGGTGTCAGCCTGGCTCAGTTGATTAGTGCTCTCATTTTGGTTTTAGAAGGTAGTGGTGTAACTTAAAAAACTAATGATTGTGGCTGCATGAGCTTCTGTTGCTCATTATTTAATTTTCATTGTTTCCAGTGCTGGGGATGTGCTTTGTTGGATGAGACATTGAACTAAGTTCCTGTCTGCCTGTTCAGGGGGACATTAAAATTCCCTGTCACTATTCAAAAAGAAAAGGGAGTTTTTCCTGGTGTTCTGGGCTGCAATCTTCTATGTAAAATTGATCATTGACTTCATGGCTGTTTGTGGGATATTGCTATGCACAGTTGGTTGCATGTTTGCCTACAAAATATATGGTTACTGCAGTAACAATAAAAACAACTTGCATTTATCTCTTCATGTGGGTTGTGTCTCGGATTATAATAATATAATAATTATAATAAATTACGTGAAATGCTTTGAGACATTCCTACGACGTGAATGCTTGGTGTGAACTGTATCAAATGTAAGAATTATTATAATTAACTTGTTGCATTTTTACTATGCTTATTGTAGTTGGCATCTGGAATCTACAACTTTGCCTGTTCTCTATGGAATCATCACACCGACACTTTCTTACATCAGATCTGTACGGGAGAAGCAGATGCCATCAAATCACTGGAAAGAACTTTGCTGTCTTTGAAAGGTATTGTTCATTTAACCAACACTGAAATGTGCAGAATTTCTTTCCACTAGAGTTTAGCTTTCTGATTGCTGTTATATCTATGGGAGGTTAGAATTTTGTTTTTAATAAGATTGCACAAAAGAATTAGTATCACAAAATCTGGTTTCACCTTAAATGGGTTTAAAATGTCTTGGCATGGTGGAATGGTGTGAACTATTGTTTACCCAAATCAGTGGTCAAACTGAGTGAAAAGTTAAGTAAATATTTATTGCTTATGGATTAAAAATATTACTCTTAAAATAAGCCCAAATATTAGTCTTATGGAATCCCGAAGCATAGTGGTTTAATGTTCTCGTCCCACAAGTCAGAGGACCCAAATTTGATTCCCAGTTGGGCTGAAATCGTAGGCAAGTTTCCTTACTCCACAAGCCTGTGTTTACCAAGCAGTAAGCAGGAATCCAATTGCAATAGGCTGCAGAGTTTCTCCCACAAAATACACAATCAATCCACTTTACAATATAATCTAAAGAGCTTTGAGGTGTTTCAATGCCATGATAAAGTGCTACATCAGATGCAAGGATTATTATTATAATACTTTTCCGTGAGTAATAATCTCTCCAAATAATAATAATAATGTGGTCACTGAATCCACGACTTTGTGGGCCACTGCTGTGCACAATTGGTTACTGCGTTTCGCCCATAAAGCACAGTCACTATACTTTACAGTGTATCTTGTGAAGTGCTTTGAGATGTCTCGAAGGTGTGATAAGATGCCTTATCAAATACAAGGATTATTATATTGTCATTCACTATTTGTGGGAACATTATACGCAATAAAGTTTTGATTAAAAAAATATAGCTAGTCATAGATAGCTTATCAGAGCTATATTTCAAACAACAACTGGCATTTATATAGCGCCCTTCACCTGAGTAGCATCTCAGTGCTCATTTCCAAAATCGACATGGTTATGGCAGACCCAAAGCCTCCCTGGTCATGAGCACGTTCAGGCGGGACTTGAAAAAGGGGAGAGAGTGGGCAAGGTAGAGGGTTTGAGGGAGAGTGTTCCAGAGTTTCGGGGAGCAGTGGCTGAAAGCACGACCTCCGATGGTGGGGCCGAAAGTGCGAGGGACGAGGAGGAAGCCAGTGCCAGTCGAGCGGAGGTGCCGGGTTGTGGATTGGGGAGTGAGGAGGTCGGAGAGGTAGGGAGGTGCCAGAGAGTGAATGGATTTGAATACAAGTGTGAGGATCTTGAAGCCGATATGTTCGGTCGTGGGGAGCCAGTGGAGCTTGGCCAGACCTTATATTGCAACCCAATGGAATACTGTAAAGTGTTGCTGGCAGTCATATTAATATTTAATTGAGTTACATACCAATGTATCTAATCTAATTCATCTGTTCAATTTCCTAGAAGCGTCCCTCAACACATCTATCTCTGAATCTGATAATCCTCAATTTGTTTAGTCGACAAGAACTTGTCTTTTGAAATCCATTTTGAAATCATTTATAGTTTCTTGTTCCATATTCCATACAATATTAAAATATGGATTTTTAAAAAAAAAACTGTTCTCATTGTAATTTTAAAAATGACAGTAAAATGATTTGAAGACGGTTGAAAGCCACTTCACATGGGGCATATTAAAATGCCTTCTTCATTTACAACAGTTCTGATATAATGAAATATTTTGTTCCATATGACCAGAATTCTCTTTAGCAAGTCATTATGTTTCAATGTACAATGTAGCTCATGGATAAAATTCATGTTCTTTTGCCTTATTGTTAACTGTTCTCAGTCTACCTGTTCTCAGTGGATTTTACCTTTGAATTTTTCTGATTATCCTATGCAATTTGCAGCAGTTTCATGAAGGGTTCAATACAGGTATAAAAGCTCAGAGTCTAGACACATTGCATCAAATGTGTATTCTCAATTTAAGCACTGCTGCGTGCAATTGGCTGCTGAGTTTCGCCCACAAATATACAGTCAATTCACTTTACAGTCAATTCACTTTACAGTCTATTCTGTGAAGCACTTTGAGACTCTCGAAGACGTGAAAAGCGCTATATCAAATGCAAGGATTATTACATTAAACATGCCTTATTTTTTTTTAGTTCTGCGTAAACTGACAGTTCATGGATTTGTTGAACCTCACAAGAATCTGGAAGTAATGGTAAGTAATGTTTCAAATATTTCCCACAATATTTTATGATGGGAAAGCTATTACATTGCTGAGAACACATTTGGAAAGTGGTCAGATGTATATTTCTGGAGGGGAGCTTTTTGTATCCCACCCCCCCAACTGATTCTCTCCATTACCCACCCCCACATCCCCAAACTCGGCAACCATGGGCTCCTACTCTCTCACATTTTTCATTTTGTTTTCTTTATATCCAAAGCTACTACAAGTGAAGGGAACTAGAAACGCAAGTTGTTTTTGACTAACATTTTTCATCTTATGTTGGCAAGGTATTTTTGTGCAGGGCCAAATAGATGATATGTAACCAAATCTCTTTTGTAGGCTTTTGTGACCAGACTGAGTTTATATTCTCCTTAATCATCCTAAATGTATGCTGTTTGCCCACAATATTTACTGCAAACAGTTCCTCCCATGGCTTTTAAAACAATGGGTGCCAGAAATGCAGCACATATGAATGTATACTTAGAAATTGCAGGTTCTGATCATTAATTGAATTAATTTAATTTTGATCAAAAGTAGGAGGAGATATAGATGTGCTGGAAGTGAAGGATTATAAAGAGTGCAAGTGACCAGATTAATAACTAGGTGAAGTGTTTTAGCTATGATGAGAGGCTGGGTAAATTTGGATTATTCCATAGATCTAAAGAGGTGAAGGAGTGATTGTGATAAAATTGTGGTTAATGGTTTTTAAAATTGTGAACATGGACTAAACCTGAATTGTCATTGAAACTATGCCATTAGGAAGTACACATAATTCACCACTGTTTGTGGGGCACTGCTGTGTGCAATTGGCTGCCACGTTTCGTCCACAGATGTACAGTCAATTCACTTTACAGTATATTCTGTGAAGCGCTTTCAGACACCTAGAAGACGTGAAAAGCGCTATATCAAATGCAAGAATTATTATCATTATCAGCTAGATAGGAGACAATTCTTCACTCTAATATTGGAATCTAAATCAGGGATGTAAATTAACTTAATTTGAGGTTGTCCGCAGGAGGAGTGTTGCATCATATCTGACCATTGTATCTATCTTTTTGGAGAGCTTATTTTGCAACAAAAATATTGAATAAATGACTATAACCAATTTCTCGTTGAATACTTCTGAGTTCTGATTATATTAATACTTGATTGGATTAAACACCTTATGTTCTCAAGACGTCTCAAAGGGATGTCTCAAATGCAAAGGGAAATAGACAGGCTTAGTGAGTGGACAAGAAGGTGGTAGATGGAGTGTAACGTGGGGAAGTGTGAAGTTATTCACCTAGGTAGTAAAAATAGAAAAGTGGATTATTTTCTAGAGGGGAAGAGACAGGTAGTGTTAGTGTTCAGAGGGATTTGGGTGTCCTTGTACACCAAACACAAAAAGTTTGTATGTAGGTACAGCAAGCAACTAGGAAGGCTAATGCCATGTTGGAGTTCGTTGCAAAAGGTTTAGAGTACAAGAGTAGGGAAGTCTTGCTGGAATTGTGTAAGGCCTTGATGAGACAACACCTGGAACATTGTGTGCAGTTTTGGTCTCCTTATTTAAGAAAGGATATACTCGCGGGATGCAGTGAAGATTCACTAGGTTGGTTCCTGGGATGAGGGGGTTGATCGGGGGGAGCAATCAGGACAGAGCAGAGGCACTGAACTGTCTGAACTGTCGGAGCAACGAAAAATGAAAAAGTGACGTAGGCGTGACGTCATTTTTCAACAGCAGAACCAGGGACAAACATCGAAAACACTGACGACAAATAAAATCAAAAAAATAAAAAATATATTAAAAACATTGTGTGAGAAGAAGTTGTGGCAAGTGAAATGCGAGGACTGTGACATGTGGGAGTTAATGGAGGGCGCCCTGAGCACGGGGACAAATCGCGGAGGCTTTGGCTACAATTTTTCAATCTTTGTTGGACACAGGGGTGGTGCCAGAGGACTGGAGAGTGGCCAATGTGACTCCCCTGTACAAAAAGGAACAGAAGGACAAACCTGGTAATCTGGTACAGAATAAATCTTCATTTAGAAGATTATGAGTTAATTAGGGACAGCCAACATGGATTTGTTAAAGGCAGATCTTGTTTAACAAATCTATTAGAATTTTTCGATGAGGTAAGGGAGAGGGTGGATAAAGGTAGTGCAGTTGATGTAGTTTATATGGACTTTCAAAAGGCATTTGACAAAGTGCCACATGAAAGACTTGTAAGAAAAATAGAAGCCCATAATATAAAAGGGACAGTGGCAGCATGGATCCAGAACTGGCTGGGAGACAGAAAGCAGAGAGTTGTGGTGAACGCCTGCTTTTCTGACTGGAGGGAAGTGTACAGTGGCGTCCCCCAGGGATCGGTATTAGAACCACTGCTCTTAATATACATAAATGATCTGGACCAGTTTGTGGACGACACAAAGTTAGGTAGGGTAGTAAACAGTGAGAAGGATAGGAGCCAACTGCAGGAAGACATAGACAGAATGGTAAAATGGGCAGACACATGGCAGATGAGTTTCGATGTGGAGAAATGTGAGGTAATGCATTTTGGTAGAAAGAATGAGGGGCGGCAATATAGGCTGGTAATACAATCTTAAGGGGGTAAAAGAACAGAGAGACCTGGGGGTGCAGGTAAATGAATCCTTGAAGGTGGCAGGACGGGTAGATAAAGCTGTAAAAAGGACCTATGGGATACTAAGCTTTATAAATAGGGGCATAGAGTACAAGAGTCAGGAGGTTATGATTAACCTATATAAAATACTGGGTTAGGCTTCAGTTAGAATACTGCGCCCAGTTCTGGGCACCACACTATAGGAAGGATGTTAAGGCATTGGAAAGGGTGCAGAGGAGATTTACGAGGATGGTACCAGGAATGAGGGACCTTGATTATGAGGAAAGGCGAGAGAGGTTAGGATTATTCTCATTGGAGCAGAGAAGGTTACGAGGAGACCTAATAGAGGTCTTCAAAATCATGAGGGGTTTTGATAGGTTAGAAAGGGGAAAACTGTTTCCACTGGTGGGTGTGTCGGTGACTTGAGGTCACAGATTCAAAATAGTCTCTAAAAGAAGCAGAGGAGAGGTGAGAAGAAATTTTTCACGCAGCGAATTGTTTGAATCTGGAACGCATTGCCTGAAAGGGTGGTGGAGGCCGATTCGATAACTACTTTTAAAAACGCGGTGGATGGTAGTTGAGGAGGATGGGTTTGCAGGTTATGGGGAAAGGGCTGGGGAGTGGGATTGACATTACATTGCTCTTCTCAAAGAGCCCGCATAGACTCGATGGGCCGAATGGCCTCTTTTTGTACTGTATGATTCTATAGGTTGAGTAAACTAAGCCTATATTCTCTAGAATATAGAAGAATTAGAGGTGATCCTATAGAAACCTATAAGGTTCTTAAGGGTCTTGACAGGGTAGATGCCATGAGGCTGTTTCCCAGTTGGAGAATCTAAAACTAGGGGTCACAGTCTCAAGATTAAGGGTCAGCCCTTTTGAACTGAGTTGAGGAAACATTTCTTCACTCAGAGGGTAGTGAATTTGTGGAATTCTCTACGCTAGAAGGCTGTGGATGCTCAGTCCTTGAACATATTCAAGACTGAGGTTGATAGATTTCTAAAGGATAGAGGGATTAAGGGATAAATTGATAGGGCGGTTAATGGAATTAGGTTAGAAGATCAGCCATGATCTTATTAAATGGTTTACTCCTGCTCCTACGTTTTATGGTTTTATGGTCTAAAGCTTTTCACAGGATTTTACTATGACTGTATATTTGTAGGTGAATGCAGCAACCAGTTTGCGCCCTGCAATATCCCACAAATATCCATGAAGTGAGTGATTGACCAATTTTATTTAGGAGAGTGTTCAATCAGATCATTCCTTAACCTTTTCAGGTCTAGGGAATAATCCAATTCGATTTTCAAATAGTGGTATCTTTAACGTACACTGATCAGGTTGATGGGACCTCAATTAACAACAAGATTGCATTTGTGTAGCGCCTTTCACTTTGAACTTCTTAGCCAAAGATTAGCACCTTCAACAATCAGCACACTCCGAGCACTGCACTAGTGACAGTCTTCTTTGAGTTCAAAGTTTTGAATGGGATTTGAACTCACAACCTTCCGACTCAAGAAGTGTGAGTGCTACCAAATAAGTCAGGGTATCATCTGTTTTAGTATTCAACATATTACACATTCCAGTGGTATGTTGCTGGATACTTTAAAATGCTTCCCGAAAATTTTCAAAAGAGAATTTAAGGAGAAATTCAGTGTTTTCAATGTAGGAGCTTTGTTTGTGATTCCTAAATGGAATTTGCTGATTATGTTATGGTAGGATGCGATGCTGGGTGAAATTACATAATTTAAAAACTAGAAAATAAGTTAACAATTAAATGTTGGTGCAGATTGAGATTTCATTAAATAGCTATTACCAAAAAAATTATGAATTGAATTGTGAGCACTGATTTTCAGAAGTCTTTACATTGATAAGGATAAGCCAGCTCAATTGTAAGATACCATAATATTTTGCCTAACATATCGATCCTTCAGATGAGACATTAAACCAAGGTCCAGTCTGCTTGTCCAGGTGGACATTAAAGTTCCCGTGGAACTATTCGAAAAGAGAAGGGAGTTTCTTCTGGTGTCCTGGCCAACAATTCCTCCAAATAAAATTGGTTACTCACTCCATAACTGTCTGTGGGACATTGCTGTGCACAACTGACTGCTGCATTTCCCCCACAAAATGCAGTCAATCCACTTTACAGGTTACCCTGTGAAGCGCTTGAGATGTCTCGACGACATGATAAGGCACTATAGCAAATGCAAGGATTATTATTATCTTCTCCAAAATCAGCTTGCTGTGTGTAATATGAAACTTCTTCAATGAAGCACAACATTGTAAAACTGCAAATATTTTAGCTTTGTGATCATTGAGGGTAGATCTTTGACCCTTACATCATTCTTGAATATGGGAGACTCGTATTGATGCTGTTCCAAATCTTGTCACTAATCCATTGCTTTTATTTCCCTTTACTTTTTTTTAGGGATTTCTAAACTCAATTTTTGAGAGGTTAAAACAGTTTCTGGAATGCAGTAAGTATATACCTATAAAACTGAAAAATATTTATGATTCTTTATCTGAATTTCTATATCGTAATTCACACAACATTTCCCTCAAATGTTTATGCCCCCAAAATACACATGCTAATATAATGATGTGTGAAAATGTAAGGCTATTTCTGGTACACATTTAATGGACCTAATTTGTTTCTGGAGCTGTTATAGAAGGATAGATATGGTCACACTGCAGGATTGGTTAATTAAATTCTGTTTATCGTGGCGAACAGCTGGACCATACAGTTTTATACATTGGCTGTATTTGTGTATTCCCTAGGCTTATGAACTTGAATTTGCAATTGAATTTCTGAAAGTTAATGATTCCATGTCTAAATCTGGTATACAATGGGAATACTTAGTAAAACTTGCAGCGTAATTGAATATCAATACGATTTGGTGAAAATAACAGCGGAATTCTCAATATACTCGTTTTTTTGTTCTGTAACATTGTTTTTGAATATGGTTTCAAGTTCAAACTTTCAAGAGTTGAGTTTCCAATACCATTTCAAAATCACCTTTTTTCAGTATCCAAACCAAATACATGTGTATGGTTTCTGTTCGTCTGGTATGTTGTGGTGAACCCTTCTTGCCTAATCCAGAAGGGTTGAAGTGCAGGTTGGCAAGAGACTAGGCTAGGGGACTCGAGAGTTGCATTGGGTATTGTTGGATCTTAACCAGCGAAGCATTTACAGCTTGCCATTGCAAAGATTGGTAAGCTTCTTACTGCTTGCCAAGCTAGCGCTTCCCTGCCAGTTAGGATTCTGATTTGCAAAATAAACAGGAGCTGAGTGAGCATCATCCCAGACTGATGTAAACATTTTGGAATACTGTTCAACAGCATGTAAACCCTGCTGCGTTCTTAGTCTGCATGGTGTATTCTGCTGAACATACATTATAGTTTTTCCCTTTAAGATATTTTGATATGACACCTTGAGGCATAACTATGTGATTGCTCCTATTTCCTAGTTCCTATATACTTTGGGTAGCTCTACTTGTATGTCACCAATTTGTTTCTCTGGCAATGACTGCTCTCTGATTTTTTTTGTTTGTTTTACATAAATATTTATTTTTTATACATATATATATTTCGCCCACAAAATATACAGCCAATTAATTTTACAGTATATTCTGTGAAGTGCTTTGTGACGTCTCAATGATGCGATAAAGTGCTATATTGTTGCAAATTAAGCATTTTATTAATGTAAAGATTTCCTTCAGTGGTTTCTTGCACTCAATGTTCTGATTCTTGCTGCTTTGTCACTTTTTAGGTCGACGAGTCAGTGCAGAAAACACTTGCAGAGAAAAGCTGGAAAAGACCATTATCCTATTTACTAAAGTGGTGAGTAAATTTTGCATTTTTAGAAACAGAATCAGCCTGACACTTCAAGAATAATTAAAACGTGGGAATGGCTGACATTTACGTTGTGTGTAATCTTCATTCTCTTATCTATATAACTGATCACATTGCTGATTCACAAGACAATAACAACATTTCTAAGAGTGAAAAGTTACTCATTTCGCATGGTTTGGTGGTTAGGTTCCAGCAACCTTTAGTATCTTGTAAAATGTGCGAACCCAGAGAGAGTTAAGTCTAGACAATTCAGCAATCCGAGGGGGGGGCGGGGTGTGGAGTGGGGTGAAATTGCAGCTGAGTCCAATCCTGTCCTCACCAGAAATCTGTGCAGAACCACTTTCTATCTGGGTTCATTGGATAGCAATCAGTGATTATCTCTCACTTACTCTTCCCCCTTCCTCCTCCCCAGAGGCCCAAAGCTAACTATAGCATCCAGCAACCACAACATGTCAGATTAGCCAACTCGATACAGATTGAAGATCAAATGAAAGACCTTTCTGGTCTGTACAGAACTGTTCCACCATGGCTGGTGTACTTGCCCACTAAGCCACTAGGAAAGCTCTGAGTGAACTTTGAGAGGGTGGCATTTGCGAAACAACCAAAATTATTATTGATTTTATTTTTTTGCAAAAATGACTTGAGCATTGACCAATTGAGCGTTGTGATCAGGATCTTGCAGAAACCTATTTTGTAAATATTTCTCAATATGCCAATTCATGGCCTTTTTATGTTTTTGTGAGTAGAGGAAGCAAATTGATGAGTATTAGACTTGTTGGTAATGTATAAATGCTTTTCCCAGAAGCCAAATCTTTATTGAACAGTTTGCTCAACTGAGAAACGCTTGCTGAAGCAAACCAAGATTTGTTACTTGCTGGAAAGCTCTGGGCTGTTTTATAATGTTGGAAAGCTGTGAGAGCAATTAAGGTTAGAGGAAAGACAAAAAACTGGAGAGGTGGGAGTTGCGATTTGACACAGATTAGGCTGGGAGAGAGAAAAAATGTTTTGACATGAGAAATTAAAAGGAAGGATATGAGGTAATTACATAGAGACCTTAAGTGGGACAGTGGAGCATTTAATACTTATTCCATTTCTAACTTTTTGCTTGTTCAGGTTCAGGTTAGGGAATAACAGGAAAGTTTTTGTACATGAAAATGTACAAAATTTTAATTATTTGAAGTGCTAACTAAACTTTTGGAATAAGCCAATCCAGTGACAATTGGATGTTTTCTAAATAACTGAGAAAATGATGAAGTTTTGGTTGAGGTTTATGCAATTGGTAGCGATGCAATTAAACAATAGATTGTGGCTTCACATTGGGAAATGACCATAAGTGTGGTGGAGGGGGGGGGGAGTTTATCTTAGCAGTGTTGAGTCAGTTCTACATGGATCTCTTGTGGATCCCTTGCCATTCTTGCTATCATAAAATATTGAAGGAGGATTTGCAGAATAAAATTTACTGCACCTTTCAAATATAAAGAGCATTCTGGATCAATTAATTTGTTTGGCTAAGGAACAGCAGATGGTTTGACATGAGGCATGAAAAGTGTACATGATGGAAGAAGAAAAACAATGTGAGTGTGATTATTGAACATTCAATATGGTTCCAGTCACACTAAAGCTTTTATCACTAAAGCCAAATAAATGTCAGGATGCACTTGAGGGATTTTTTGACTGTCATTCTAACCTATGTTTAGAATATTGTATTATTCTAATTATTCTAAGTATTATTTGATCATTCTTGCTGTTGTTCTCTATACTTTAAAGGTAATGCTACCTTTAAAGTATAGAGAACAACAGCAAGAATGATCGCAAAATTCTAGGAGAGACTCAAAGCTGAACCTGCTTTTGTTAGAGGAAGTATTGAGGACGGACCTTTGAGACATGGATGAAAGCAGCCAGATTGACTCGGATTGTGAACACAGAACTGGAGGACACATTCAAATTGATAAATGAAGCTAGTGATGAGAGATTGTTTTTTTCCTGGTCAGATTTTCAGCACATACAGTTAATGGATAAATATCTGACTGGGAACAGGATTGAATTTAAAAAAACACTCAGATGTTTCAAATTCTTGAAGGACAATGTGAGGCTAGACGAGAGAGGGAGGTGTGTGGCATGTGGAGGCAGCTGGTTGAAGTTGATGAGTGTTCAAAGGTTTTCCTATTTTTCTGTTTCCATTACTTTTGAGGAGCACGGGGTATTTATCTAGAACTTTTCCTCAGGAGAGTGAAGTGAGAGGAGAGTGTGTTATAGGGTAGATTGTATGTTGTCTGAAAAGCTTTTTGAGCTGAATAGCTTTATCCCATTATTGGTATATGTTAATATATAATTAAATAAATGTCTTGAATCATTCTTAGGAATGATGGCTCTGAGGAAGCAAGCGAGTTTTGTAAATTTTCAGGCAAATAAAATCTTTGGGTGCATTACACAAATTGTTTATCTAGGAGCTGACCTAAACCTGACTCATGTTCTGTCCTGTTTATCATTAATTGGTCATGATCTAACTTGTATTTTATTTGTTGTTTGCAGCTTTTGGACTTTTTGGACTATCATCCATTTTCATTCATCACCTTGATTCAGCGGTCACTGGAGTTTGCTGTTAGCTACGTATTTACAAGCGCTGGCGAGGGTGTGACATTTGAACGGTTCATTGTTCAGTGTATGAACCTCATTAAAATGATTGTCAAAAACGATGCTTACAAGCCTGCAAAAACCACAGAAGGTACAATGATTTCCAGGCATGCCCTTTTGTTTTCTTCTTACACAAATGATTTCACCCTTTGTCATTTTGGCTTGGGTGGGAGGGATGAGTAAAATGCATTGCTCATTAATTATCTGTAGAAAGCAATTTAAACCTTAGTGCACAAGTTTTGGTCCTGTCTAATTATATGTTTGTCAGAAACTGACCGCTTATTTCTGTCTGTTTTGGATTTTGGCTTCTACCATATTGAGAGGAAATTGTGTTTTTGAAGTGTTAGCTGAAGAGCATTTGTTGCATTGTAAAAATAGCTTGGCATTTTCATGAGGAGTCTATTTAAATACAATCCCAGCATTTTTCAGATGAGTTTGAAATCAGGTCATTTATAGGTAATTGGGCAATTTTTCCCTTTTCAAAAAAAATCTTCTCAAGAAATATCATTAACTACAAGTTAACAAAATAAGGATAAGCTTTACTTGTATCATAGAATCCTACAGCACAGAAGAGGCCATTCAGCCCATCGTGCCTGTGCTGGCTTTTTGAAAGAGCTATCCAATTAGTCCCACTCCCCTGCTCTTTCGCCATAGCCTTGCAAATTTTTCCTTTTCAAGTAAAGATCCAATTCTTCTTTGAAAGTTATTATTGAATCTGTTTCTACTACTCTTTCAGGCAGTGCATTCCAGATCATAGCAACTCACTACGTAAAAATATTTCTCATCTCCCCTCTGCATCTTTCCCCAATTATCTTGTATCTGCATCCTCTGGTTACTGACCCACTTGCCAGTGGAAACAGTTTCTCCTTATTTACTCTATCAAAATCCCTCATAATTTTGAACACCTATTATATCATGGATGTCTGGATGCATTTGTATTTAAAAAATTTTTTTGACATGCCTGTTAAGTTGGAAGGCACTAAAGTGCTTTTTTATTTAAAAGGATTTGACAAAACTAACTTCACTTGAAACAATCAAACTCTTAGTTCTTTTGTTTGTTAACCATGCAAAATAGAGTAGCCAGAACCCAGACACATTATTGAAAACAAAAGCCTAGTGGAAGTGAAGTTTTGTTTTGCAGAAGAAGACTTAAATAGTTCTGCACTTGTGTATTGAAAGAAAAGTTTCTTTCTTCTAACCCTCTAAAAAAGTGAATACTTGTGTCTCTTAAAGAATGAATACTTTTATGTTATGAACTGCTTTTCATCAATGTGGATTTTGGAAAATTATATTAATGCTAAAGCTATGTCTACAACTACTGTAAAAACAAAACAATTTTCTACTGATTTGTGAGAGATGCAAATTCTCTAAATTAAACTTGCCCTGAAAATCCAGTGGCCAGAAGATAGTTGTCTCCATTTAAAGGGGGTAGTGTAGCGACATCATTTAAGTAGTAAGTGAATTGTAGTATTCATTTAAGTACTAAGTAAATCACATCTAAGGTTACACTTGTTAAACATAAAAAATGTTGCAATGTTGCAAGATGCAATGTCGCTCAGGCTGCTTGGATAGCTTTGCAAATCTGTTTACTTTTATCCTTCCCTCTCCTTAAGACAATGACAGATTGGGTGCATGTTTTGTTTACCTTGAGTATCCGAGCCAAGCACTTTCACATGAGAAAATGCACAAGTACTTTGGCTAAAATAATTACTCTGCGAATTTCTGGCTTTGCAAGATTGAAATGTTCAAATAGTTTTCTCTTTGCTTTGCAAGATTGAATATATGTCGCAAAGAGGCTAAAGCTAATCATTATGCTTAACATTTTCAATGTCTGGCATTAAAGAGCACTTTGAAAAAAATGAGCAGTATCATAGAATATGATGAAAATTGGCAGCCTTTTATTTGAGTCTATATGCAGGAATGAGTTGAGAGTTGATTTCAGCGCCTTGGGATGTTCTCCTGGCGCTATACAAATGTAATCTTGTTGTTGTTGAGTTAAGAGTTTGGATGATGTCTATTGTTTTAATTTATGCAGGTAAGAAAGTAGATCCCTCAGATTGTTTTGCCAAACTGTCATGTGAAAAATTGTGGCATTACCTCTGTCACATTGTAACGTCATTCAAGTTAATTACTTGTGTATTGCTAATACAAATTGCTGATAAAAGGGTAGAATTTTGAGAAATTACTGCAAAATAAGACATTGTTACAAAGGTTATTTCTTTAGTTTTCCGTAGTAGACTATATTGGCCTTGGTGTTTAGTATGTAGACAAATTGTGTTCTTGACCAAACATTCGGAAATGCATAGCTATTATTTGAATCATTAATGATACTGAATTTGCAGGAAAAAAATCAGGGATCATTGAGACTATATTGACATTGACAATCACATGGAAAGTGAGCAATCTTCCTTACATTTTGCTTGTGAAAATAAGCACCTGATTAGACATCCTTGTCACTGCTATTCAAAGATGGACAATATGGACATATTACATCAATAACTGTTTCTCATTGTAACTTTTGTTAATGATTTAACTATCACAGAAAATGTTAGTCTTAGTCATGTTTAGGATGTAGATTCAAAATGGTTAAAGTTAATTTATATTCTATTCAGAATATCAGTTGAGTGTCTTTTCAAATTATTGAATAAAATTTTGTACTAGAATTTACCTTTTTATGTTTTGTATATAATGTGAAAACATCATGCTCTTCCATCAGTGAATGATTTACTAATATATTGAATACCACATAAATACAATACACTTTACATATATGGAGCGCCTTTCACATCAGGAGGACGTCTCATAGAACTTAACACTGCTAAATGTCAAAGTAATAGCTCTAACACTATGGCATGTTTCTGTAACTCTAAGCTGATTTGCTAGATATACTCTTAAACTTTGGGACCAACCAGATGGAGTGCAATCATATGCCTGTGCATACGTATGCCAAGGAATGATTACATTCATTTAATTGGTGTTTTCATACAAAACGCATATAAATGCAGTTAGATGCATGCTGCTTCCGATGTGATGGGATTTCATTTTTGGAGCTCAGCAACAGCTTTTTACGTAATATTTGCTTACACAAGAGATTTGGATAATAGCATTTTTACAAAATATTTAATTCAAAATAATTCGATCATCTGCAACATGCAACATCTTTTTCCTTTCGTGTGGAAATGCCAGTTGGTTGAGAGTTGGCATTGTTAAGTAGCAAATTAATTTCACAATGATGTCATTGCAATATCTTTTCAATCTATACGTAAATTTAGTTCATTTAAAAGTAACATTTAATTTATCATTTCATTTCAGTAATATGCTGTACTTTTCAATCCAGGGCCATCATTGAGTCTTTCAAGTTTGGCTTGGATTCATTTTACTGAAAGGGTGAAGGGCTTAGTGACTCCACCTGGTGGGTTTCAAACTCTTTTGGTATGAATGGAATACATAATGAGGAACTTGGGTGGTGGGGGGTTGGGTGGTGGGGGGGAATCTGTATCCCATTTTTATTGATAATTCCAATGGAATTGACCTTTATGGCTTGAAAATTATTATCTTTGTTCTTTTATGGGCCATAAATCACATTTTATGGCGCATTATGCTTTGAGTTGTTCTGTGTTCCTTAAGGCTTTGGTATCTGTTTGCCACAGTGCAAGTGCAGTTTTCCACTATTCTTTCATGCTTGAATTATACTGTTGGATACAGTATTTATTTTAATACTGTAAATACATTCCAGCAAATATACAATTTATACTTTGTTGAGTAAACCTATCCAATGGGTAGCAGCCATGCTTTCTCCTTATTCAATGGGTGGGTAAAACATAAGGAATAGTTGAGAATGTTTCAAAATAGTGTGTAAATGGTGGACCACTGGGCGATCTGATCGTTTATGAGGATGGTGAAATTAACCACTAATAATGCTTTCTGCTATTAGTGGTTGTAAGGCTTTGAGACATTTCATTTGTGGTCCAAGATTCGTGTGGAGTATAAGGACAGCACGGACTAGTTGGGCCAAATGGTCGGTTTCCATGCCATACACCATCCTATGTAACTATGGTGAGCAATACTTGTTCTTGTGTTATCCAGTTGTGTGAAAGACGTCTGAACTTTTAACTATCATCGTTTTACTCTGAAAGTACACACACTGCACTCCAACTAAGATTGCAGGCAGGGGACCTTTTCCAAGAGTCTTTTGAATCAAGGGCTCTGAGACGCTACCCCTCATGGAAGGCGCTATGTAAGTGCAAGTTGTTGTTTAATGAGTGGTTTCAGAGAGATGCAAGAGAATGTTTCTGGTTGAGACTTAAATTGCAGTGTGGGAAATGTGGGTAGAAATATGTAGTTAGCAAGTACAAATTATAATTTTGTGCCACTGGATGTTCTAGGGTTAGGATTATTGTACAGCTACTGTAAATTGTGTTTTACTATTGAGTAAACTGAGTGGTCTTATTTCACTTTGTTTCAGAAAGCAAGCCTGAAACACTAGAGGCACATAAGATAAAAATATCTTTCTTCAACTATCCAACTTTAACTGAAATCTGTCGAAGACTGGTATCTCATTATTTCCTTCTGACTCCAGAGGAATTGGCCATGTGGGAGGAGGACCCAGAGGGTTTTGGTAAGTTTTTAAAAAATTGTCTCAAAACCAGTTTGTTCGATACAGTGATTCAGTGGTCATTATGAGGGGAAATTGGAGAAAGATGCAGAGGAAAGAGCAAGAGAAAGATGAGAGGGACCTGATTGAGGTCTATAAAGTTCTGAGAGGTTTTGACAGGGAAATTGGGAGAAACTATTTCTAGTGGAGGGGAATCCATGACTGGAGCAAGGTTCCCAACTTGCTGGGATGGTGGAGTGATCACCGGGCTCAACATTCCTCCGCATCGTCAATGAGCCAACAGGAGCTGCCATCGCCTGTGGCCTGGACAAGAAAGGTGAGAGTAGAGGAACATCCTCATCTTCAACCTGGATAGCAGCACCTTTGACAAGTCCGTCCTCACTGATATTGGTGGTGAAAGCTTTTTACATTTGGAAAGCTTGAACATGTTGTTACCCCCTCAAAAGTTCAGCCACTACTGTGTCTCTCACACACACTCCCTGTCATACACTGAATCTCTCACACGCACTCTCACACTCTATATTTTCTCTCTCTCTCTATCTCTCCTCTCTCTCTCCGTCACATACTGTATCTTCCCTTTCTAACACTTGTGACATCTATTGTAATTATATGTTGAATAACCCATTATTTTTGCCTTTATTATATTGCTGACATTGCTTATTCCAAATATTTATCACAGTAAATGCATTTTAAAATTTTCTTCTAATTTCTATTTATATCTTATGAGTCTGCTTGGCTGGGTTAACCTTCTATTCAGTAGCCATTAAATATTTTATGTACTTTGAGATTCCGCCTTTGCAGAATCTGAAGATTTGGTTTCTCAGATGTTTCTTCTTTGTTCATCTCCTTTATGTCTTGGATGTCCAGTTGTCCTTTTCCTGATATTTTCTGATGTAATTCCTTTTATTATGGCGTATTGATCAACACTGGACATTGTTTTCTGAGTGTAGTCTGACCATTGCATTGTGAAGTCTCAGCTTTAAGTTTTTTTTTAACTTTACTATGATGTTTGGATATTGAAAGTGATACTTCTATCTCTACCATGCTCTCCTCTTAATTCATTTGAGTTTAATAATATACTGTGATTTTTAATGGATTCCCTAAGGACACCTGATATTTGTTGTGCTCTTGGATTTCTCATACCTTGTGTGTTTTTCTAACTGTAATTATTTTACATTTTAAAATTTTTGTATATCCATTCCAAATTGTTTGCTGCATCCTGTCTATTGCCCCTCTTCGAGTTATTATAATAATTATGGTAATCCTTACATTTAACACCACTCCTTTCATACTGGGATGACATTTCAAAGTGCTTCACAGGATATGCTGTAAAGTGTAGTGACTGGTATTTTATAGGCAAACACGGCCAATTTGTGTAAAGCAATGACCCACAAACAGCCATGATGTGAATGACTAATTTTATTTGGTGAATTGTTTGCCAGGACATCAGGAGACTCTCTGCTACACATTACAAATCACTGCTGGTGTAGTTGGCTGATTTTGATTCAATGGTATTCAATTTACAAATAACCCCTGACACAGAAGTGCGTCTCATAAATGAGATTTGTTTTGGATTGAACACAATTAATGTCAAATATTTTCTTATTACAAATATTCCTTCCTTGAGCTTTCACAGAACATTTTACAGTAATTCATAATTTCCGATGATGCTTAAAGGATAATTGTTTCAGTAAGCATTTTCTTGAACCATACCTTCAATCACCCTCCTTTTCCCCCCCCGTCATCCACCCTCCCCGATCCCAATCCTCAGCTTGGGTCCGAAACACTGATTGTCCAGCACCTTGGGACGTCCTTTCGCGTGAAAGGCGCTATACAAATGTGATTTTTTTTGTTTGTTAGTGTTCATAAAGGTGATATTTATGTACAAAATTGATGCATGGATCGAACACACAAATATGTAATAAGTGCTCGTGTTCTGTGTCAGGGGTTATTTGTAAATTGAATACCATTGAATCAAAATCAGGTAAGAGTTTTCACACATACATTTATTTTTCTGAAATACAAATAGTTTACTATCTTTTATATCAGTTCTGTTTGTCTATACCATATTACATTAAGATTTTCCATCAATTGTTTTTTGGGGGGAGTGTGGGGAGGACAGGAAGAATGAAAATGTATAAATAAAAAGGGTATTTGGTGTTGAGCTTTGGATAGTTTCCAATATGATTTATGTTTATATAGCAGCTTTCATATTGGGAGGACATCTCAAAACATTTGACATTGCTGGATAGGCACCCGAGCTGGGGCTGGGAGCTGAGGGGGTGGAGAGTAATCCCAAATCCATTAATTAATGCTTTCAGTGAATAGATTATTTAATAATACTAAATGTGTAATACTAAATGTGGAAGTTAATATTCTGCTGTAATTTTTGGTCACTAATTCATACTTCTGACTTGAAAGGCGCTATACAAATGCAATTTTGTTTGTTGTTTGGAGATCTTTGTGTCCAAGTGGAATGCCTTGGATACAACAACAGATACCATCGTCAGAGTAGTTTCATTTTTATTGTAATGAGATCATTAGTATCGACTTATGAAAGTGAGATGGTGAGCTAATTTTTCATTGTTCTGAAATTAAATTTTGCAAAACTAAAAGTGGATGATGTGTATAGAACACTTCATAATCTTATATATTGGCCGACGATTATTCAATTCTATTCCATATTTTGTTATTGACAAAATGTACTGTTGTAATAAGTTTACAGAGACCATACTTTTGCTGTAAAAAATACATTTTCCTTGGAAATCAAAATTTCTATCATTTTGATTGTTTTAGAAAAGATCTTGAAATGAAAACAAACAGAGCATGATTCATTTCTGACAAATAATCTATTGACTGAAACTCTGTAAAGCAGGCTATGTAGATTCCTTTTAAATAAATCATTGTATTTAGTGGATGATGCACTTATAAATTTAATTCTAGCATAAATTGCTTTATTTCCATACCATAAATTAGGCATTCAATCCATACTTGGATTGAATCCACACTTGCACAGCACTCTATTTCTGTTCACATACATTAGTATTTCCACTTGTTTTTTCTTTGAGATGCATCAACAGCAACAACAACAACAAGATTCCATTTATAGAGCGCCTTTCACGTCGGGAGGACGTCCCAAGGCGCTGGACAGTTGGGTCAGGACCCGAGGAGGGGGGAAATGGTCAGGGTGAGGGGAGGGAGGGAGCGAGGAGGGGGAAATGGTCAGGGTGAGGGGAGGGAAGGGAGGGAGCGAGGAGGGGGTAGAGAGTCGAGAGGGGAGCTGAAGGCACGGTCAAAGAGAAAGGTCTTGAGACCGGCCTTGAAGGAGGAAAGGGAGGAGGCGGCGAAGGCACTGGGGGATAGAGTTCCAGAGCCTGGGGGCTGAGAGGCTGAAGGCCCGGCCACCGATGGTAGGGCGGTTGGGGCGGGGGATGTGGAGCAGACCGGAGCCAGAGGAACGGAGGGTACGGGCAGGTAGGTAGGGGGATAGTAGGTCGGAGAGGTAGGAGGGAGCAAGGCCGTGAATGGCCTTGTAGGTGAGGATGAGGATCTTGAATTCGATCCTCTGGGGGATGGGGAGCCAGTGGAGGCGAGCGAGGGTGGGAGTGATGTGGTCCCGAAGCCTGGTGCGGGACAGTACACGAGCTGCAGAGTTCTGAATGACCTGCAGCTTGTGGAGGGAGGTGGCGGGAAGGCCGGCGAGGAGAGAGTTCCCATAGTCCAGCCTTGAGGTGATAAAGGCGTGAACTAGGGTTTCAGCAGCGTGAGGGGTGAGGTAGTGCCGTAGTCTGGCGACATTCCGGAGGTGATGGAAGGCGGTGCCAGTTGCAGTGCGGATATGAGGGAGAAAGGACAGCTCAGGGTCGAACAGAACCCCGAGGTTCCTGACTGGCTTTGAGAGGTGGAGAGTGCAGCCTTGGATGCTGATGCTGTCAGCGCCTGAGGTGCGGAGGCGCTGACGTGAGCCAATCAGGAGGGCCTCAGTTTTGCTCACGTTGAGCTGAAGAAAGTTGTGGAGTTGAGGGTAGAGGAGGAAAGGTAGAGTTGGGTGTCATCCGCATACATGTGGAAGTTAACCCCATATCTGTGGATGATGTCACCAAGGGGGAGCATATAGAGGGTGAAGAGGAGGGGACCGAGGACAGAGCCCTGAGAGACACCGCATGAGACAGAGCGGGGGGTGGAGGAGAAGCCGTTTGTGGAAACAAAATGAAGACAGTGGGAGAGGTCGGACCTAAACCACTTAAGGACAGGGCCTTGAAGGTTGAGGTGGGAGGACAAGCGGTGGAGGAGGATAGCGTGGTTGACCGTATCGAATGCTGCCGAGAGGATGAGGAGGCAGAGGGAGCCCTGGTCGCAGATGGTCAAGATGTCATTGGTGACCTTGACCAGGGCGGTTTCTGTGCTATGGGCAGCACGGAAACCCGACTGAAGGGGTTCGAATAATGCATGGGTGGAGAGGAAAGAGCGCAGCTGGGAGGCGACAACTCTTTCAAGGACCTTGGACAGGAAGGGGAGGTTGGAGATGGGCCGGTAGCTTGATAGCTGCGACGCATCAAGGGAGGGTTTTTTCAAAGTGGGAGTGATGGTGGCAGTTTTTAGGGGAATGGGAACAGAGCCAGAGGAGAGGGACAGGTTGATGATGTCTGTGATAAGTGGGGCAAGGAGGTGGAGCTGAGAGATAAGGAGTGGAGTGGGGATGGGGTCAAGGGAGCAGGTGGTGGGTTTCAGGGACAGGATAAGGTTGGTGACAGAGGGTGGGGAAACGGGTTCAAAGGGGAGGATGGGTAGGAGTCGGAGTGTGGCTGGATTCCCTTGATTTTGGATTCAAGGAAATCCAGCATCTCCTCGCAGTGAAGGTTGGAGGAGATGACTGTGGCGGAGTGGACGGAGGAGTCGGGATGTGGTAGAAAACAAAAGCCTGGGGTTGTTCTTCGCCTCCAGGATTATCCTGGAGTAGAAGGACGACTTGGCCGAGGCTAGAGTGGAGCGGTAGATTTTGA